ATAACGCTTAAAATTTTAATGAAACTTAAGTTACCCGCGGGCCACCGTGCCATGCAACATGTGTATAGGTATACAATTTTCACGTTTATTTTAATTAATAACTTATTATCCGCTTAACTTTCTTAATTGTTTAGTAGAACTTGGTATTTTTTAATTTTGTTGGTTGCCATTGGTTAATTGAGCGGATCAGGTTTAAGCAAGCATCAAATTGAATTTTAGTACATTGTCTAACAAAGTGGCTGTCGGCTGGGTTACACTTATAGCCTCTTATCGGCATGTACATAATCAAAATAATTAACTATACAAATTATAATTATAACTATAGAATCATTTTTTAATAACAATATGTGCATAGAATCATTAGAATCATTATTTTTAATATTTTTTTTTTGAAAGGATTTTTCAAAATTATACTTCTAAGGGGTAAAAAGGGAGTTTTTATATATCTATATAATACACGGGCAACGCCGTGACGGGACAGCTAGTATAATATAAAATTCTACCTAATAATATATTACTCTCATTATAACAAGGGATTCTCATGTATAGATTTAGCATTTTCAATGGACAACGAAGTGCACAGGATCAGCTAGTAAATAATAAATAAAGAGAAACGATCAATCGAAGAAACTTTGGTTTTTCGTAATGTATCGACTATTATCATTATTATTATTACGACAACTTCAATAAGTTGTTACGCAATATGGTGGTTTCCGTTATGTCTTTTGTTAGCGACGACAAGTGATGAAAATTTTTTTCGTCGTACATATTATATAAAAATATATTATTAGACCAGTCAGGATTCACACATTACGTTTTACGAGCCTCGTAGTCATCTCTACTCATATTATAATATACATAGTACGATATTATTATTATTATTATTATATTGCGTGTATATGTTACACACAGTAATAATATTGTAAGACGGGATTTTTTTTAACGCAGGCGCTGCAGCTGCCGGCGCTCCCACCTCTATCGAATACATGCTACATGAGCAAACAACGAAGACGTTACGGTTGCGTTTGTGCTCGATTCATCGTTTTCTCACCACTGCACATTTTCTGTGGTGAAAGGCAGCCGGTTGCATCCGACCTTGAGTCACGCACCGGTCCAACCCCTCGCCATATAAATTATCGATCGCGCCTGCGGCGCTGCCAGATTTCCAAAACGACTAGTTTAGATTATTTACGGCCATCTCCGTTCGTTGGTGTTTGTCGCGTCTACGCACACACAGCTTATACCGTATATGACTAATACCGCTCGCCGATGTATACAACGTGGTTAAATAAATAGTTATGTTGTCGAGTTTCAAATACAGACTGTATTATTTCTGATGAGTTATGACTATGACGCAGTGCTGTCGTCTGGAGGTATCGAAAACTGTCACTGTTTACAGGAGCAGCACATAACAACGTAATTAAAATTTTTTTACCGAAAAATATGATTTTGTCTTCAAATAATACGACTTATTAAAAGATTTTACCGTATAAAAATTTATGGAGGAGAATATTTTCAAGAATAGTGAGAAGTCCGATTTTCGATATCATATCATATCATATCTAATCACTCAATATCGCATGGAAAATTAACAACTTTTTTTTACTTTTTATCGATTAATCATTAATTAAATTTTTATCGAATACCTAGTTAATTCAATAAAAATATCAAAAATCGGGCCTTATACGATTCTAGATAAAATTCTCCATACCACATTTGATCATCAATTTTATTTTTTATATTATTATTTCATCACAATGCCATAATAATATCATATATTTATATTTTGAAAACTTACAGCTTAAATTAATAATATTTTGGCGACACACACCACGGTAATATGTGACACACCAGTTAAGAACAACGGCTTATACCTTTATTCATCATTGTCCAATACTCTACATCTGTACACAGCGTCGCTACTCAGTAAAGTTTAACTTACACCCTTTTCTCTGCCAGCCTCCCGTGATAAAATATTATTCAAATTATGCGCGCTGGTAGTAGAATACCTGACTTGACTGGTATGAACACCGAGTAATGAAGGGTAAACCTGTTTACGGGCGAAGTACGTGACGGTCGAAGGACGTTATTAAACATTTTTTTTTTACCAAAAATCAAGTGATACGGCGTTTTAAATGGTTTTCAGTTTAAATAAATATTATAAACATTTTGAAAGATAATTCTATGTATAATCATAAGAAACCTGATTTTCGATATCTTTATTAACTAGTTCATTAATTAGTCAATAAAAAGTAAAAGGACGTTTCGAATACGATATCAAAATCAATCTATCAAAATCTATCTTACGAATCTAGATAAAATTATAATCTACAATTTTTACTATAAGTATTTTTTGCTATAAACCGCTTTAATAATCCGTATTACATGCAATACGAAACTATGGTCTTATGAAAAATATTTTGTTCACCATTGTGCCATGTTATTTTTTACAATACGTTTCGGGTTTAAATACTCTGAAATCTATCAAAATATTACTCCAAAAAATAGCCAATAAGTAATTAAAAAAATATTTTCTGACATAGGAATTATTGTTCTTAATATTCAAAAACCACAAATAGTTGAAATTAAAATTAAAATTTTAATTAAAAGTCTAAGCAGAATTGTCTGTTATCCTGAAAAGTGAGTCTAGTTGATACTTTTGAGAGGTAAAAATTGAAAATGTAAAGTAGTTTTTTAATTCATTTTCATAAACAGAAAAAAGGGTAATTAATGTACAAAATTAATTGTTGAAAATATCAATTTTACTCATGCCATGGCTGTAGTACGGAACACGGTTGTATATCTACAATAGTAGTACAGAATAAATAAAATAAATCACAATGCTAATCGAAGTTATGTCGAAGTATGAGCAGTCAAAAAGCGAATTTCATTAGGTCACAACTTCAAAACTAAGTCCGTGATTCAAATTCCGACTTTACCATCGTTTTCAGCGTACTTAACTACATGAGTATTGAAAAAAAAAATAATATTAAAAAAAAGGGTGCCCGGTAAAGTAAAAATATACCAAGGAAAAGAACTAGAACCTGTTTCATTAAATTTTATAATAATATAAGGTAACCAAATTATTAAAAATTGTTCTTAGATTAGTATACAAACAACCAGGAATTTATAAATTGATAAGTCAGTTCCAAGAATATTATATAATATTATATGAACTGAAGCTTAATTTTTAAGTTCACAATTCCCTACACATTTACTTTGGTAATAGTTCTGTAAGTTAAATTTTGATTATTTTCAATTTAATTCAGTACTCATATTATGCTACATAATATAATAAGTAGATAACAACAAAACAAAAAATAACAATTTTATTTGACAATACATACCTTTTAGCTATTGTACATTGTGTACAAATCGACATTATCTTATAAGGTGCAGTGCTATATAAAATTTTCAAGTGCTCAGGTTTTTTATGTTAATTGCATTCAAACCATCAATATATCGTCATTAATATTGACGATATAATTCAAGAAGAATATTTATTATTTTTTTTTATTTAATATTTTCAATGACAATATTGATATTCAACTTTTGATATTGAAACATATTTAATTTTTTATAGGTTTGAAAAAATATTAGTTATTAACAACTAAGATTTGACAAATAATCGACAACTGTTTTTGAATACAAATGATTCTTATAAAATATTTACCTACAATATTGTATACAATCACATGCTGATAAATGTTTTTTTTCAGAAAGAAGATTATATTGAATGCAGAAAACATGGCAAATCAACAATTGTAAGTTTATTTTTATATTTATGTATGAGCATAGATTCTATAATAATAAGAAGACAAAATAAGAGGACGAACCAAACCAAAGCAGACCTTTTTTAAATTTAACAAATTTTTAACGAATATGATTTTATTTATTCCAAACTAAACATGTACCCACCTCCTAGTTCTGAAAGTCCTCTTTCATAATTTAAAAAGTAATAATAGATACAGTTTCATTTTGATAGTTGCTCACTCAGTGGCGCAGGAACTATTTTTTATGAGATTGTACAAACATAAAAAGCCTATCCTTAATTATAGGTACATTTAAATAAACATGCTGACATATTTATTATGTATATAAAATTTTGTGATTGATAATAGAAATATATAAACCCATACAAAATATAATTTTAAATTTTTTAACGTTGATATACTAATTTTATGATATAATAATTATTAGTAATATATTGATAGAACTATAGTATACTTAGCTATGCATAATATAAGTACATAGTACTATGTTAGTATAAGAGAGTTAAAAAAACAAACAAACAAGATTCTTCACATAATATTTCTTTACCTGGAATTTTTTCTACTATAAATATTGAAATTTTAGAGATTATTGATAAAAATATTCATTGTACATAATACATAATTATTGTAAATTGTTTACTATTGAATGTTTTTTTTTTAATATTGATACAAAACAAAAAATAAAATTAGATGGGTACATTAGTACTCAATAGTTAAGAACAAAAATAAAATGATTAAAGCAATAAAGACTATGAGTTAGGTCTAACCTGGAGTTATATATACTAACTTTCACAGATTGATCAAAGAATTAAATCCCCAAAAACCACTAACCAAGGTCCAAGTACATTTAGGTGATTAAGAATTATTACTAATTATATGTAGGACGTAGGTATTTTTTATTAGTATTTTTTTGTGTAATTTTTTGGAGACAAATAATTAGTATTATGGCATTTAATAAGTGGTACATTAGTATGTACTATAAATTAATTTAATTTTTATTTTATTATAAATTAAATGTTAATTAATTACATGTTACAACTGATCATACAAAATTATTTGATATTATGTCAAAAATTACCTCATTCAGTATAAGTTTCTGTACCTTTGATTTGAAAAAATCAGATATGCTTTGTTTTGGAACAGCCATTATAAATTGCAAGAATGTGTTTAAATTTTAAAACATTTAAACTAATTAATTAGTAGAATAAATATTACAATATAGTATCGATGGTAATTGCTTATTATAAAGACGGTCGTCGTTGGGTGTACTCGGATACCTCAGATACTGACTGTTATCGCTTGACTGGACAGGCCAAATTGTAAATAACCCACAAATAGTCTAAAAATATAACAATAATAAATAATATGATACGTTTAGTGAACAATTAATCCGGGACTGAAGGGATTTCCCAATAATTAATTATTTTATAAATCACTCCGCATAATGTCTATAATACTAAATATTACACAATTTTCAGTATGCATTAAACAATATTTTATAATAATAAACAGATAATAATAAAAATATTGTTGCTCACATTCATAAAAATGATGTTTCAAAATTTTGAGTACGTTTGGTTTGCAAATTGTAGTAAACGTTTTAATTTGAATCTAAAGAAGGGAGAAAAATTAAACTTTCGGGCCTTCGATAACATCAATTCCACTTTTTGCCCCCCCCCTCCTCCAGCGACACTACAGCAGCTAATTGTCAAGACAAACAATACGCATTTCGATTGAACCGTATCTTAAATAATAGAACACTACATTATAGGCTTTCAACTAATCTATTTAGCAACAGTATTAGTTCAATTTCCAAAAATTCGTAAAATGATTTATGAGTTATATTTATAAGTTTAATTTATACTCACTTTAAATAAATTACTGTACAGAACCCTTTTAGAATTAATAAATAAAATACAAATTGATTTATGAATAATAATATGACATTTATCTCAAAATTCTTATTTAAGTTTATAATTTTAAATAATTTTAGGAGTTTAGTTACAAACGAGGATTATGCACCCACAGAAGATTTTAATATATTCAAAGAAAATGGTAATATATCAAAAGAAGATAAAAAGTCTGAAGACAATAAGACTATAGATGATGAGCCACCCAAAAAAAAACAGAAATTATTAACAATTGAAAGAGATGGTTTGATATTCGTATTTTTTAGAGAAGAAGGAACTCGTACATGTAAAGCGCACAATACTCCATTGAAACCCAATAAAGAAATAGCTTCTATCAGTACTGTGGAAGTACCAATTGTAATTAACTGTGAAAAATCTGTTGAATCTGCTGAACATTTTTCAGCTAAAAATGTTAACTCAACGGTCAGGATAATTGATCCTAGCATAATGATAAATGCAGAAGATCGATATTCAAAGTTTTTGAATGTGTCTGAGTTATCAAAAAAAAAATTATCTTCATGCAGTGCCAAAGTAAATGTAGTTAAACAACCTTTAAATGAAAAAAATCATATAAAAAGGAATTCAGTTGTAATTGAAAAATTACATAAAAAGTATTTCAGTAAATTTGTTCAAGATTCAATTGTAACTATTGCAAATATACTCAACATAATTTCAATGGCTCGAAAACATTACAAAGCTCGAATGGCTGAATCTCTTGAGAAAAGATCTGAAGGTGAAATATTAAATGCCAACCATACAACAATTTTGGAAACAAAGTTAAAGGACAATTTTTCAGCTCTCGTATCATCATTTGAAGGACCAGATTTTGATACAGTATTTAAAATGCTCTTTCTAAGTATATTAACTGTACTTCGAGTTTTGGATCAGCCTAAGTTCAGAAAAGGCAACATCTTCAATAAAGTTTTACTTTTTTTACAGAATAGTTTGAAAAAAAGTAAATATAACCATCCCAAAATTTTTTCAATGTTTCGGTCAAAGACATTTCATCCAGACTGCATCGATTTAATAAGAATAATTGAAGATAGTCGGGATACTGACCCCGGAGTCATAGATCGCATGCCATTGTATTTTATAGCAACATCAGAAAGCCAGATCTATTTTCAAGCAGTTATTGATGCTGTTACTAGTGATTCGAACGAAGACCTAGCATTATTAATCGATAATGCTACTTTTAAATGTCACAATGGTTTGAAGTTTAAAGATAATGTAGTTTCATCAACTGTAGTACATTCAAATGAGATATTACCCATAACAGAGACCATTTTAAGTCCTATCAACTCAGACAATACAATTCAACACTGGTTTCCAGAAAATAATCCAGACAGAACTTGCCGGTAAGTTTTTTTCTAAATTAAATACTGATATATGCTGTTTGGTTACCATAAAATATTTAATTTAGACAATAGAGTTGTAATTACATGGTTACGATTGCCAAAATTTTTAATTTTTGATAATTGATATTACTAAATCTGAGTTTCTAAGTTCTATTATGTGTATACACTTTTAGTACCCAACTTTAATTACATCTATAATAGTTAGATTAATTTCGATTAAGTTGAAGAGGTTTGAATACTTATTATAATTATTAATTGAGTCTCTAGTTTTTTTTAAATTAACAACTTTAAATATCATACCGAATTAAAACTCAAAATTCATACTACTTCTTACTAGTATATGTATTCCTTATATCTCCGTTGTAGATATTTATTGTAATCAAAATTAGAGTTAAGACAATAATTAGTTCTGTTATATTTTTAGAAAAATATCTGCGCTAAATGGTAATAAGTCCCAAACAATTGGTAACACCGCAATAGAACAGTCAATAAAAAACTTTGATGAATCATTCTCTTCTTCAACACAAAAGAAAAATTCTGAATCTTTTTCTTCTAAAGTGATACCAACAGAAAAATGTATGACTGTTATGCCAAGTATTTCCAATAGTTCTTTGATGCAAATAACAGCACTGTGGTCAGAAGCTGAAGCATCAACATCAGGTCAAACAAGAGCAGTAGTCAATGGTACTAATATATTTGTTGAATCACCAGAACCAACTAGATTTATCAAAGTGAGTAATATTCATCAGAATATAATTTTTACAAATTCTTAACAACACTTATTTTTACAACATAATATTACATTGTGAATAGGTGGTTTTTAAAAATCTCTTCTGTAACATAAGTTTAAAATATTTAAGCTATCTATTTAACCTGTTAAAATGTTACACTAATTTATTACTAAGTCTTATTTCTTGTTTGTGGTTTGGGAAAATCCATGTTACAAGTATTTAGCAGTGACATACTTAAATTTTTAAAAAAAAAATGTTTAATATTTTTGGTAGCAAATAGTGATTTTCCTAACTGACAAAAGATCAAGTAATTGATGTTTAAATTTTCAACTTACAAACCAAATTATTTAAATTGATGACTAATGAATGCTTTTTTCGGCGACCAACTATCTCACTCTACATATTTCTAAAAATAATATGAAAAATGAGATAATTTTTTCTTTAAATGAAAGTTACTGTTTATTTTTATAAATTATAAAGCTTTTTTTTTAAAAAAGTATAAATTATATGAATCGAAATTCGAATTAGGAGTATTTGAGTTATTTACGTAAATTTATGTACTAAGAATATTTGGTCCATGATATTAGTTTGGAAGATTTGGGTCTAAAATGATATGATAAGTATAGTTATTAATATTAATCTATTATCATTTTATTATTTGTAAAAAATAAAGTGTAAGTAAAACCAGTTTTAGATTAAACATAACATATATTTTGTACATTTTAAAACCATATTTATGGACTATTATTCTTAACATATAAACATTCATAACTCAGAAACTACTAATTTTAATGTGAATTTAAGGGTATCTAAGTTATTTTAAATTATACAAATTTTAATATTCCGAAAACATTACTTTTGTTTTCTTATTATAGTGCTGCAGGAAAAATTGTAAAAGCTCTGCGACAAAAATTTGCGGGGTTTGTAAAACAGTGAAATACTGTTCAAAAGACTGCCAAGTAAGAATATATTTTAAACATATTTGTTCAATAACTATTTATAGTACTGTTGTTATATAATTTGATTATTTTTATGTCTTATTTCTTCTTTTAGAAACTTGACTGGTATGGAAATCATGAAAATGACTGTGAAAAATTGCTAAACATAAAGAATTCTCAATCCTAAACATTTTATTGCATACATAAATTATTTCAATATAGTATACAATATATATATTATATATTAAAAAAAGACGATCGTGAAAAAATTGTATTTTTATTGTTATTAAAACAGAAAAGTAATTTATTATGAATTTTTATAGCCAATAAAGATGTGATACCATAAATAAATGTTAAGTAAATTGGATTAAAGTACACTTATTTTGTTACAATAATTAATTTACTTGGCGAGAAATAATATACTTTATATGATGCGGCACACAAATTAACGTGGACAAAATAAACAAAAGGCATTAGACCTTCATTATAATTTAAAATATTTTAATAGATATTTTTACTCAAAATAATTTGTAGCCAAGTTAATAAATTATTGAAACAAAATAAGTGTACTTTAATTCAATTCACTTAGCATTCATTTATGATATCACATCTTTAGAGTGCTTAAAGATCTGTTTTTTTTTTACGTAGCAGTTTTTAATACGTAGTTGAATGAAGTGTTTTTGTTGTGATGTCAGCAATTTTTTATATCAATAATTTTTTAACTAATTTTTCCTCTCTGGAATTATTATAAAACATCTTTGCCACCACTAGGCCATCTCTCTTTATTATTATTTATTATTTGACGTTTATTGACTATTCATTACATCGAAACCAAAGATTGGTTTTTTTTTCTAAACTTGGTGTTTTTTTTAAATAAGAATACTTTAATTCAATTTACTTAGCATTTATTCATTTACAGTTTTTTGGGGGGATTTATTTTATTACTATGTTTATTTTTTCTATTAAGTGAGTACTTTTCTTTATTTTTCGACGTACGTTTCACCAGCCCCCCGCATTTCAATTTTCAAAAATTTTTTTGGTTAAATATTTAGCGTACAATTAGCGTGAATTGGCGTGACTAACTTTGAAATTTGCGTGGCACAACATCAACTTCAAAAGTAAAAATAGGGTAGGGGGGTTGTAGAAACGTTTCTACGGCCCCCCTCAACCTAATTTTGAGTAATAAGGGGTTTTTTTCCATCCTAATAATTAGCGTGCAATTAGCATGAATTTGCGTGACCTGTTTCGAAACCGTACGCCCAAAGCCCCGAGTACAAGGCGCTATGCCCCCTTTTACCCATTTCGCCAGCCCCTCCCCGACGACAAAAAAAAACTTTTTTGTAATTTTTTTAACGCCAATAATTAGCGTGCAATTAGCGTGAATTTGCGTGACCTGTTTCGAAACCGT